ACCCTCTCCCTAATCGTCCCCCCCCACCCTCTCCCTAATTGCCCCCTCCTCCACCCCCTTCCTCCTCCTCACACACATGGTAACCTAGTCTAAAATTAACCCACCACGCTAGGCGAAACATTTAGATTAGCATTCCCGAACCCTTGCGCATGTTGGTCGACACTGCATGTTATGATTCGCGCGAATAACTTGCGTTGCAATCAGTTAATTTGTACGCTCACACCGTGTACACCCGCAGGCGCCATGAGACCTCATTACCCATTGTCAAGCAAGCGTGAGGTGCCGTCCGACATTCCTCGCCCAGATTATGCAGATGACGGTTTCCCCACAAGGTTAGTTGATTGCGACCGAATGTATAATCTTGAGGCAGTCCGCCACGGATGGGATGAATTGTCTAGTAGTCATGTATGCCGGAGCAAGTGTCCTCGAGGAAACAATTTTAATATTTGTTTTTTTTGGAATCGAGTCTCTTGTATGTGTACTGGCCAAAATAATCTCTGACCAAGTGTTGGGACGGTCACAATGCGAATTAATCTATGTCTTGCCCGGAGTGTTGATAATAATAGTTGCACCCGCGTGTCGCTTTTTTTGATTCATTCCTTGGAATGTCATTATACCAAGCTTTCTACGGATCGTTGCCATAATATATATGATGTATCCCCGTATATTCTCTTTCCTTTCCATTTTCGCACCAGTTCAATTGATTGCTCGATCGACTACAACGTCACTAGTTTTTTATCCTTGGTTTGAACAGTTGCCCATCGATCGCGCTTTTTCCTTTGCATGTTTACTGAATATTTGGACCTTCTGGCTAATACCACAGCGAAGCCGAGTCTCGCGGCAGTCACAAGATACAAGTCCTGACCAAAGAGGAACAGACTAAAGCCCGCAAAGTATGCAAGCTCTCTCGAGAGATCTTGGACATTGCATGTAAATCTGCTAAGGCAGGAATGACAACTGATGACATCGATGCGATTGTGCACGAAGAGACCATCAAGCGAAAGGCTTACCCCTCACCACTCAACTACCATGGCTTTCCAAAAAGTGTGTGCACATCCGTGAACGAGGTTAGTCTAAGTGTGTTTGAAGCGAGCATTGTGTTGTATATTGAAGCAGAGTACAAAACGGGTTAGTGAATATACTGATAGATGCATCGGTCGTGATCATAGTAGTCGAAAGATTTTGGAATATCATCAGGGGATCAATTTTGGAATTCGGTTGTGATTTAACCAGTCAACAGCTGATCACTTAGCAGGTATTTTAATATTTGACTGGGCACGGGATATTTACCGAATATTAATATTTCACCTCTTACACTTGTTTTATTCATTTATCAGGTCATTTGCCACGGTATTCCCGACAAATATGTACTGAAAGATGGGGATCTACTAAACATCGATGTGACAGCCTACTTTGATGGTTATCATGGTGATATGAACGAGACTATTTTCATCGGTCAACCTTCTGAGGCAACTGAGCATCTGGTGCGAACGACTCATGAGTGTATGATGAAAGCCATTGACATGTGCAGGCCCGGGGCCTTGTACAGAGATCTAGGCGGTGTCATCCAGAAACACGCAACGGCGAATAACTTGAGTGTAGTGAGAAGTTACTGCGGACACGGTGTCCATCACTTATTCCACACAACCCCTAATATCCCACATTACGCAAAGAATAAGGTATGGTCTCTGCGCCTAAATTTCTACTCGGGCTTGTAGAAAGTGTATTGCTTATTGATCTCTGTTTCCGTTGCACGCGTTGCATTGGGGTTAACACGTGGTTGATCAATAGAAGAACAATTCTCTCAAGTATATATGTCAGGTGTCTATTCTTAGTTATGCAAAATTCGCCAATTTGCTTCTGAAGACTCGCTTTGTCATGGCATCTGGGGTAGCAGAAGTTCGTTCCGTAGAGTGTATGTACCTTAGTTGAAATTATGTGTGCCTGACAATTGAGCGGATAGACTACTTTTAAGCCCATTCGTAAAGTTGATCTCATCTTGCAACTGAATTATTCGATGAATCAGGCAGCGTTCATCAACAAGTTCAATTCATTTTATACTATTTAGGCAATTGGTGTAATGAAAGCCGGACACATCTTCACCATCGAGCCCATGATCAACGAGGGTGTGTGGAATGATGTCACGTGGCCCGACAACTGGACCTCAGTAACGCGTGACGGCAAAAAGTCTGCTCAGTTTGAGCATTGTCTGCTGATCACTGAAAACGGTGTAGAGATTCTATCACAGACCCACGATAAGCTGCCTCACTTCCAACGACAACTGAAGGAGTTGAAGGCCGCTAAGGAAGCCAAATCGGAATAGTACAGCAGTAAATTCATAGCTATAAATGCACTACAAACTGTCAGGTTTGCCTTTGACACCGTTGAGTGTCTACACGGCTTGTGTATGTCTTTCCGATGTTAATTTTTAGTTTAATCCTTATTTTCATAGTAGTCCTATTCTGACCTTGAATGGCGTATACGCATACCATTCACTTCTATTTATTATCTCGAGTTATCCGCACGTCGTACCGTTTTAGTTGTGCTTAATTTTGAATTGATGTATAAACCATGGTCATCTCAATAGGCACACCATACTTCATATATGACATGATATGGCCACAGCCACTGTGCTCCCAAAGGCAGTTCGCGCACTTCTAAATTAGCACTATCGTAAAAGCCACAGCTCTAATGGAGTTGAAATTTCGCTGCAATTTTTTCCTGCGAGCATTGAGCGATATGCTGTTGTAGTGCCACCAACATGTGAGCCTATGGATATGCCCGCCCCAACGACCTAGCAATGATGGAATAATTAGAATTTGGTACCGAAATCGAAGGAATGAGTACGAATTTATGTGCGTCACACACGACGGATGTAATCTGGTGGATATTGTACCTTGCGCGCGCAATATTTTATGAGAGTAAATTTCAGTTTAGAGTAAGATGAAATGCCTTTTTATCAACCACTGGAACATTTACTTCTGTTCGTTTTGTACTACTTACCCTGTCGCACGGGTACTACTGATGTGTTTCATGAAATTAGTTCAGACCATACTCGAGGTCTTTATCAAGCATTGTATTGATTGTCAGTCGTACAAGATTCGATAATCGCGTGCACTGTGTTGTCGGAGCCTGTTGACCTGAGCATTCTCTCGAACTCACACGAGCTTGCGCTTTGGCAATGTCGGCGACGCGAGACGTTTGTACAGCAGACCGTTGGCTATCATCGTCCCGAGATTATTTCACCGTTGAATAGCAGAAGTAGAGCTCTAGAGTATTTTGCCCGTATGAATGGTGTCCAACTTCATACCCATGTCGATTTTGTAGGAAGGCGCCGGGCACTGTCACAGCGAGTCGGTGAGAGTGATCGCAGTTGAATGGCTGTGTCTAGTACTTGACGCACTCGTCGTACGTCCTGATGAGAACTGCGAACATAATCATCCAGCCTTGTTTGCACGTGAATAAGGTGCACTCGTCGATTCCTCGGGTAATACACCCGGCATAGAGCAGGGATTCATAGTCTCTTTGCTAGCGGCTAATTTAGCCGTCATGAAGCATCCTGCTTCCTGTTATGCCAAATTTGAGTGAGACGATGAGAGACGCTTTACACTGACTATATAAGCTACCTGAAATGCGGACTCAAGGCCATGATTAAAAATACATACCAGGCTGGCACAGAAATCGCGCAACCCAGGTAGGTTACTTTTCTTGCGTTCCGGTATAAATGACTCCAAGATAGCCAGAACTGCTTCATGTTCATCATACTGCCCGCTACTGGAACCTTCAGGTATACGTAAACGACCAGAATACAATTTAGACTCGACAACAAATGTCATTTAAGTGGCATGCCAGTCTCTTTTTCTTCTCAAGTATATACTCCAACGTAGATTCAACCTCTAAAAAACATTAGTTCGCATAGGTTTTTTTGCGAGTTGGCGCGTATTTGCAAAACCATACGAGGTGCCAGTTGAGCTTTTCGAACTTAAGGCCAAACTTACGAATTCGCATGACTATACAAGCACGAACAAGTACTGAAAATACAACACAAATATCGAATAGTAGCGGTGTGCGAATGTGGACGCCAGTTGTACTGGCTGATACTATGCGATGCGGTGCGTTGCTGTCCCAGTGCAATTTGCATCCACACTTCAACTACAGCAATCCCTTGGCAATTTACAGGCAACACACTCTCCGCAGGTGGCAAATTGTCTTCACACCGGATGGCAGCAGATTCATGCTCATAATCCGCAGGAGCGGCGATTCGCGGTATCTCGAAGGAACCGACAGGGCGCGATGCCGTTGTATGGTCTGTTGCTCTGTCGAGATGCTGTCTTGCTGTGGGGTCTGTCGTTCGGTCATGACTCTTCTCGGCGCCCGCTCTTCATCCTGCATGATTTGACAGTGTATCCACAAGGATTTGTTACAGAGTATTACATAGCACGAGGGCGGCGGAAGGATGAATACATCTGACTTGCTTCACAGCACCATTGAGTACCGCTTTACGAGCCACATACATTCCACTTGCGATTTAGCAATTATCGAACACTCATATTTGATAGAGGTTCACTTGGCTTAAACGGCAACGAATATTGGCAGGGTAATGTGTGTATCTGAGGTGTAAAGCTGTAGTTTTCTTACCTTGTGGATGAAAGCACACAAATCTCCCCGATCACACGATTTGGATTTGCACGAGAGGGTTTTGTACGTCTTCGGGTGAAATAAGACCTGTAATCGTGAAGTCATCAAACGTATTGGATTCATGTGCCTTTAGTGTCGATCATGCTTGTAAATGGCCCATTGGATCGAAAGATATCTGCTTATGTTCCATCTTCGTCACACGATACGCGGGTGTGCCAGACCGTGCGCTTACCTACTATATCTCGCTCGAAATATATCCGTGTGGCCCAATATCCCATTTTAGATTCAGCAGATACAAATGTGCATATATGATTGTGTCGACCGTGCCAGGTTTCAAATTGTAGCTAAGTAATAGAGTTGGTGCAGATGCCAACACACACGCATCACAGCTGACGAGATCGAGCGCCCGAGGGGTTTAAAGTACTATTACTATTGGCTGACAAATCCAAGGTGATGGCCACTGACATTGACATTATCGAGGTCCCCATTCAATCAAAAACAAGTTCGTATTTATATATGCGCACCCACCCCCCACCCACTTCCGCTTTTTCGCAATTCTCATTACCTCAAGTATAGTATGTGCCTGCTCACACATATCCCCCTTATCGCAGTGCTCAGGAGACTTCCATACTTTCGTGGTCGAATCGTACAACTGAACACATGGCTGGGTAGAAATAGTTGAAGTGTCATGAAGAGCTCATCGATCTGGGAGCTGTCATTTGAATTCACTTGGGAACCGATAGTGAGAGCGAAGAGACGTCTGTGGTATTCGACATCTCAGCAATGCCCGTAATTATAACTACTATATAGCTTTTGTACACATGTGGCGTAGCTGCATAAATCTCTCAGCACTTTCTGTGTGGACCAAAAAATGAAAACTCTAGCAAATGAAGTTACCATCAAATCAAGATGGCACGAATTGCTAGGGAACTGCTAGCCTGTTGGAATGCTGCATGAACTCACATTCTTCGCGCATACAGCAGATATTAGTTATATAAGGGGTAAAACATCTCAATGTACCGGTATGTCAGATACTATACCTGTGCAGTGTAGGTAAATTTGTCCGTAGATCGACGTCGCTCCTTCGTCGAGTGATAATAGATGCAGAGGGTGTTGGTGCGATGCTCCATGCATCTGGAGGCAATACAAATTCCAATTTAATGACACGATATTTGTGCACACACAACAAAACATCAAATTTAACGAAGTAGGCGACTGTGTCGGTATTATTCTCTCAAAAACGAATGGAAAGCTTTGAGACGAACAGACAGTGAGCTAAGTATTGTCGCGTGCCAGTAATGTCACTACTCTGATGTTTGTATATGTTGCCTGATCTCACTTCGCCACACCGTTGTGTTTTGAACTCGGAGAGCACAAATTTTCTAGATCGCCCATCCTGGCACGTCATGTTAACCGGCAGTTTCCCCACAACTACACGTGAGCTCGTATATGGCATAAAAGGTTTAGTATGTGAAAGTGGATGTACGTGTACATGGCAACCTCAGAACACTGATATTTATCTCAAAAGTCGCACTTTTGAATTAACCTACCAACAAGAGCACCAAACATATATATCTTCATCTCGAAATGATGCCTAAAAGCAAAATATAAGGTTAAGCCGTAAAGGCCAGTGAGATACATAAGTAACACTATATTTATTGCATGCACTCTGAACTGAAACCGCTTTCAAACTCACATCCCTGTATACATGTGTAGTGGTGCCGTCGTATGCTTGCAACACGCCCAATGTACATAGAAATGTATGTAGATGTCTCTCTACCGCCGGCTCATACGAAAAGTAGGCCCGCGGTCATCGTCTTTGACCCCAGCTTTTAGCTCAAAGTTATAATACAATGACTGCGACGGACAGATACCGGACTACGATAGAACTTTCTCAGTACGTGCCAGACTTGCTAGTACCATCTCCATGGCACCCTTTTAATCTACCCAGGCTCCAAAGACCGCAAATTCGATCTCTCCGCGACTGTACGCAACTGCTGAATCAGAACTAGCTCATCAAATAATTTGAGGATGATAATAACACGTGAGAAAATTGCAGAAAAGACCCTCTTCGAATCCGAAGATGTCGCAAGGAAAACCAGAGAACATATCTGATCTCTGACCCGTCACAAGAACATATTTCTACTTCAACACATAAAAAGTGGACTGTAGAAAACTTTGATTTTGATATAGCACCGAATATAAGTTTGAATACAGCTGTGCCGGCATAGCTAATATATAGAGAGTTTTTATGTTCGTGCCGTGCGTCATCAAAATTACAACCGAAGCCATAAAAGATAGAATGCGTCCACCACGAGTCTATCCAAGGGATGCAATGAATTAATAAGATACGGATAGCAATCCGACAATGAAACATCAACGCCCATGCAGTAGAGTAGCTTCACATCCATTTAGATAATTATAGTTGCTTTGTCATAATTGCAAGCTTTGAGCGGGTGTTTTATTTCTAAATTAAAACTTTAGACATTCCCAGCATGTGCAATACATGAATTTACACATTGCTCAATCACAAGACTTAACCACAGTAAAATAGCAGCTACAGGATTGCAAGCTGCTATTATACACCTACGTTCATGCGCTTCTCGGCTGTCAGCATGAGTATCCGCACAGCATACACAAACATCTCAGATATCCATGCGAAGACACGTTACATAGTAACTCAACTCAAGTCAGATGCTCATTTCTGATCATCGATGGCAGGTGTTCGTATTTATCATATATATACAATGATGTGAAGCGATTTAAAAAAGGCAAGCACACGAAAGCTGAAAAAGCATAGCACCTGGACAACCAATCATATTATAGAATTATGTATGTTGCAAGACTTGCCACTTGCTGGTATCGTGTCGAGGCGCGCCGGATTTCGCTTCGAACTAAAATTAGAAAAGAGGCAAAAGCCCGCGCCCTGTATATTGAACCAAATTCTCTGATATGTAAACAGTACATGCAAATTTTAATAATAAATACTTTTCACTACTTTGTAAACACTTGCGTATTTTAATGTATGGTGAAGTGTAAATATATACATTGTATTGTAAAATATAGATACGATATAATAACGCATTCTAGGAGAGGAATAGACAAGCCAAGAACCAAACAGCCATTTTCTGATGCACGCACGTAGTCTATCAGACACTCGAGTTTCTCACCTCACACATAATGATTTGAATACTTGATTCAATTACCCACAGAAGCAGGCAGGTGTTCAAGTATACAATGACAGTATAGTGCAAGTAGTAGTATTGCAATCGAAGGCAATGGTAAGGATTGCTAGCCTTGTGCAAGTACTCTATTGATAGCTGCCAGTTTCGAGAATAAGTACAAGACCGCGCTTGCGATCATGAATATACAGGGTGGTGTGGAAGCACCTAGTCATGTCTCAGACGATATTGCGATCAGTGCGGACATACTTACATCCACACCAGCTCAAATATCATCTTTTTCGGCACATCAATGTGAAAAGCGTGTAGCTAAAGACGGCTCTACTACAACTTCACAAACAGCAGAACAAGCTGACCCCGTGGAGTGCACGCAGCCTGCACAGGCTAGGGGTGTGAGACAATTCTCATTTGCGCAGATCCAAAGGAATAGGGAAGGGACACCCTCAATGGAGGCTAGTGGTGGTTCTCACTCTATATCAAAAACAGATACACATAGTCACGTGGCATATACGAGCCTGGGGGGGACTGATCATGGATCGAGCGACACAACTAGCACCAGCACCAGTAAGCAAGCCGTTGACGAGGTATGTTATTATGTGTTATGTATGGATATATACTGGTAGAAGCTGAGATATGCACCCATGTAAAAAATCTATTTACGTATAGACGTATGATCTATTTGTGTATATGTAGTTATATGTATGTCGCCATGACAGGTAGATGTGTATATATGCGGAAGGAATTAGGTGCAAGTGTTGACTGCCTGGATTGTAATACAGATGCAGCGATGAACTGATACTCCCATATTAGATATTACAAAGTCGTGAATGTACGTTCATTTGGGTATATTTTGTGTAAAGTCTCTATCTAATATATTTTCTGCTGATATTTCGGCTTCGTTTGTGCACGACGTCGCTTAGAATCACTGCTCGTCACACTCACATCATACAATTATTCCCTCATATATTGTTATTATATGGGAACTTGAAGGAGAAATTATTGAATTCTAGTACAGATCATTCGTGAATTGGTGGTGTCACTTTCTCTGCTGGTAATTCGCATCGCATATGTCAGTCTTATTACACCCAAATCATTGCGCACTGTTGGAATGAATTTAAACCGTAACCACGAAATACGATCTCGTTAAAAACTGAACTGTAGCAGTGCTCGAGTGGATGGACTGTTTGTAGCTTGCTTCGCTTTTGCCTTCTTGTACCTCTGAAGTTTTTCGTTATGGAGTCGCTGAACAATGTAGTCATTTAGCAATATGATGGAACGAGACCGTATGTTCACAAAAATGCGATCAGATTTCTATACTATTAATTTCCACTGACACGATTCGTATGGCTTCATGGTATATTGAGATCAACTTCTCGGATTGTCAGATCTGCGAGACAGCTGATGATCCTAGTTTCATACCTTACTGTTTTATGGTCACACCATGGCCACACTACCGCAGTCTCTCGCATAAGTTATGCTGTTTTGGTATTTTAAGATTGTATTCTTTATTGAATACAATCACTTCCGCGCTTTGATACTTCAGCAGTCGTCGAAAGTGACAAAGAAGAAGAAGAAGAAAAAAAAGAGGAATTCAGATACTTTAGATATAATGGCGCTGATGGGTGGTGGTCTATCTAACAAGAAATCAAAATCAGCTGCGCTTGTCATCAGCTCAAGTGAAGACGATGAAAACACAACATCCACCAAAAAACGTATGGAGTGATGTTCACGCATGTCGTTTCACGCGCTTATATTTCTCTCTCTCGCTATTGTCGTTGCACTAGTTTCAATTTTCTGACATTGTACAAACTATTAGTGTGTTTGGAGTTTTGTCCAGATATGTGCAATATTTGATAGAAATATTAAAAATTATCATATCCGACACTACTTTTAACTTTCACTAGCTACTTGGCTTTCCTTTGACAGCATTGTATAAAAAACATAAGATACACAAGCAATCTCCAATTTTGGAGTCATCACTAGCGTCCAAAAAGCGAAAGGTGGATATAGACCTGTCTTCAGATGATGGTAAGTAATAACACATCGACTTAGGCTGTTCCAAAAGTGATCGCTACAACGAAACTGCAAGTTTTGGAAAATTTACGGATAAAGGGATCAGCTAAACACACGTAGTGCTTTCGGTTCCATGTGTTATATATGTACTATGTAAAAGCACGCTAGCTTTTAACAAACAATTTTTCACCAACTCAAGTATGTAGATATCAATCAATTCTTGAAGCACGGCTTATTTGTACTAATAGAGAGGGACGAAGATGCAGTAGATATGGAGCGTAAGAAAGCTGCAGAAAGGAGGCAACGAAAGGAACAAGATAGGATCAGTTCAATGAAAGCTCTGACTGCGGCCTCGGCAGTGCCAAGCGCAACATATGCACCCACTCAGGACAAAGATATACAACGAATAAACCTAAGAAGCAACAGTAAGTGGCATGCCTTCACATTTTCACTCGATATGTTTTTGTGTTTGTGTTCACATACGTAGCATATATGGATATGATTTACAAATGTATTCATGTATACTGCATATGTATGTACAATATATATTACACAGCTGTGATATTGTGAAAGAATCGGCAATTCCGTGTTGCGAACGTTGTTCGAAGTAACTTCAGGTATGTAAATGAATTGCTCGTCACAACACACTATCATACTAGTTGACTCAGCAACTCACATTTGCATTGTTACAGTTCTAAAACACCAGCTACAGTCTGTAGAGGATAATGACGACGAATGCGAAGACGACATCACATTGCATCTCAGAGATGTGAACGGGATCATCACTGAAATACTCACTCAGCGTGTGGACACATTCGAGGGGACATACGAAGTTTTTAATGAGTACTACGCTCAACAGGGCCAGACACAGATTGTATTTTGGAGACTTCAACATATGGAGCCAGTGGATCGGTTTCTCGTGCCGGGTAGGTTTAGCTTTATGAGGAACTCATATCCTCGCGTGATGTCAACAGTGTCGCATACATACCACGATATGAGCGTCTATGTTGCGCAGCGTGCCTCGTGAACGGAAAGTGAGGCTCACATGCCAGAGACATTTTATTCCATCAAAGAATTGTATTTGAAAGACAGCGGATAGCATGAATTGCATGGTCTGAAAAGACTGTGTTGACTTTCAGATATGCACGAGTTAATTGTTGGCTCACTAACGACTTCCACTTTAGTTGTACACACACTTATGGTCAAGTCATGGTAACTTTGCACAGCAACTTTTTGATGGTGCTTCTACAACTGTATAATCGAACTGCATAGAGCAAATGCGATACTTTCTGGTGAATGTGAAATTTACGTCCTTATTTATACATCATGTACAGGAGCTGGTGGCAACATCATATACTCATCAGATACGCCACACAAACTCAAACTTGGTAGTGGGCCACAATATACAATTGACTGGAGAGAGCACCCGATTGACGTTGCAGACGCACTGCTCCGAACGAAAGTAAAAATATTTGTTCTGGTTTTCAGCTAAATATTCGTATATTTATATGTATATATATATAAAAGCGAATTTATATATATATATATATATATATATATATATATATACACACACACACACACTACACACACACACACACACATATATATATATTATTA